TGGACGCTTGATTGGCAAGAGCCATATTCGTCCTGTGCAACTGAACTGAACTGAACTGAACCTGAATTTGAGGCGCCCCTTACGAAGTTGCGCGCTACAAGATGCGGCCGGCCGGTAGGGGCTCATCAACGGCAATCAAGCGGCTGACACAGGATTATTTAAGGCTAGTCCGCGATCCGGTACCTTTCGTATCTGCCGCACCATTACCGTCTAACATGTACGAGTGGCATTACGTCATAAAAGGACCATCACACTCAGTTTACAAGGGTGGCTACTACCATGGGAAGCTAATTTTTCCTAAGGAGTTCCCATTCGGTCCGCCTGCCATCTTTATGATCACGCCAAACGGACGGTTTGCGTGCAATACGCGGTTAGTACCCCAAATATTTCGCTAATCTTGTGACAGACTTTGTCTCTCCATCAGTGACTTTCATCCCGACACTTGGAATCCGGCCTGGTCTGTATCTTCGATTCTCACCGGCTTACTGAGCTTTATGTTGGAGAACACACAAACAACAGGGAGTGTTGAAACCCCAGCGAGTGTTAAACGAGCCCTTGCAAAGGAGAGTGGCGAGTTCAATTTGAAGTCTGAATTATTCTGCGAACTGTTTCCAGATATTGTCAAGGTAAGAGTTTACTTGAGATGACGCTGCTTTCCTACTTTTATATGAACTAAACCGAAATACTCGTTTCAATGCACTTTTTCCGCCTGTTGTAAGCTAACAGCCATGAGCTGAGAAACTACTGTTTCTTCAATAAGCCTATCCAATACCAACGTAATTAGTTTTGCCAGTAGAAATTTTACTATAAACTACTCTCTGTCCCACTCATCACAGTAGCCATATTTAAGTCCTAACGGGAGTCCTACCAGAGTCCTATAAGCTGTAAACGAGAGGATTATCCCCCCCCCCAGTGAAACTCGAATCTGTGTCAACTTGACTCGCCCGAGGTTCACTCAGGACTTACATATGACTGAGATCTGATTCTTATACTGTTTTAAGAGATGCTATTCTAAAAGTTGATACGAGCGGGTGCTTTTTGGATTGATACGGTTTGCATTCTCCACAGCACGCCTCCCTTAATTCCGTTTCATCTTTCCTATCCGTTTAATCGCAATCACAATGAAAAGCTTTGATTTACTATAACGAAGACCTACTGTAAATGAAATGGAAGATTCCAGACGAAAAGCAATCAAGAAGTCCTTTTTTGATTGTTTTTTCTTGTAAAAGTTAGTTTTGGAGAGCGAAGAGGGCTGGAATCCAGCTGTGCATGACTATGTAATTGACGCTATAGAAGTGATAAACCGTCTGGACCAAAAAACGGCTGGAAAATGCAAGCGTTGGGCCTAGGTAAGGCGACTTTAGACGCGCCGAATCCAGTTTAAGCGATAAGAAGTGGAGGAAAACCGATGAACCATGGGTGATGAACTGCATTTTGGAAGTTAAGGTCATTCATTGATAATGATGCCGCTAGAAATTCAGCATTTTTATAGGTTAATCAGCAAGACTTTAGTTATAGTTAAGTATAATTTAATCTTAAAAGTCCGATATTAAATAGTTCTTTTGCTGTAGCTTATCGCGCTATTTCTGACACTAGAGTTTTTTGGGATCTATTGTTTACGCTTAAGATAATTTGATAATCCTTTCAGTGCTTGGCTCCTTTATATACATCTCTGGTCACTCAAACTCCTATGTATACACAATAAATAATTCCATACTGCATCCGTCGTCGCGCAGGATAATCAGGACCGTGCTGCCCATTGCATCGAGCGGGGTGGGTAGTGATAACTGGGCTACTGCTCAGCTATCCCAACCCTTGTTTAGTTTTTTTGTCTCCAGTACCCAATCCTCTCCATTTCCCCCTTCTTCCGACCTGTAATAATCCCTCAAGCATGTATTTCTCCCGCCTCAGGTCGTTGCCAAATAACACTGTAAGTAATGTACCACGAAATGGATTGCAGATTCTAAAGCCTCGTCAATCGCTGAATCTGGGGACCTTCAACGTTGGGATTCTGATGCAGTTGCATCAACAAGCTTGTTTGGCGCGTACAATGGGATCATTTGGGATCGATATTTAATGCGTATCGGAGACTCGGATTCAGGATCCTCCTCCTCCTCCTCCTACTCCTATTCTTCATCCAAATGGGCAGCCAAAAGGCAGCAACCAAAACCGGCGCACGGATATGTATGGTTAATGGCTGGACAACCTCAACTCAAACTACTATAAGCCACTTAAGCGCGCTCGATTTGTCCTCGGGTCTCTTCGGACACCAGGCCACGATAAATCCCGTTCCATTGGTCAGCGCGGGATAAGCATTGCACTCAGTAACAGGACTGAATCCTCTCCTATCGATTGGATCCCTGTCAACAGTCGTATATGTGCAGTGCGTCTCCAGGGTTTAATCAGCGTCCGGAAGGGAAGCAACGCCAAGAGGTGTTCGTCATATCAGCATATACACCAACTAATTGCGGTTCTGACACCCAAAAGGACGCTTTCTACGATGAACTCGTCGATCTCAATCGGACGAGTCGAAGCTCCAACATAGTTGTACTGGCAGGTGAATTTAACGCGCAGGTTGAAAAACTGAGCACATCGGAAGCTTGCCTACGTGATAGTTGCGCTCTACCCTGCCAACGAACAGATAACGGCGATCGACTTCTTCAGTTCTGCGCAGATCATCATTTGTTCCTGTCCAGTACCAACTTTCGACACTGCTGTCGACGGATATCATCATCAGCGTACAGCGAGATACAGTGGATGATCGCTGCTAAGCTCATAATGTACACAAATCAAGTAATAAAGCACAAGATGGAGAGAGATTGGATCTAATTGGAGGGATCCAAAGAAAAAGAATCTTGATGGTCAACACAGAGTACACAATCTGAATGTGCATACATACCTTTTCAAGCATTCTGATCTGATAAGAAATGACAACAAGAACACTGCTGTCGGTTAATCGCCATTGGCATGCGCAATAGAAATATCCGAAGACAATTGTTCGCTCACCAACTCAGTCGTTTTATTCCGAAAAAGCGGAAAGCACACCGCTTTAACTGAGAAAAAATGCACCGAGTGTTTCCTAAACGGATTGTTCCAGGGTGGAACAAATGGCTTCAGGAAGAAGCCTGGGGCCTTAGAGGAGATTAGAAATAATGTGAAGATGATCATTCTCCGAGGCTTGTTTGTCTTGAATCAACTCCCAGCTGTAAATGAGATTTATGTTGCCTAACTAATGTGAAAGTGCTTGTGTCTTCAAACCCTCAGCTCATTCAGAGGAGAACAAATGGGTGAACAGGAGAAATGTTTTGTCGTGTCAAGTTCTAACAGAATCATTTGGTAACTGCACCATCTTGCTGCGAATAAATCCTGTCTTCGCTCTGGATCAAATATATGATTATGCTTGGCTATCAGCGTAGGGAAAAGTTGTACCAAGCATTGTGTCATCAAAAGAATATGAACCGCCACCTCCATTTAGGGAAAGTTAAATGTCAGCGCCACAGGTGTCCCAGATCGGCAAAAGCTGCCCTAGGTTTTGCTATTCAAGGTGTTATTGTCCTCTCCAACCCAAGCTCCAGCTGCAATTGAGCCCTCATTTACCAGGTGGTCATCACAGAATGAGTATGAGAGGCATGTGTTGTATGAGCACTGTGCATTTGAATGGCGCAAAGTATCTATCACCTGTATATACAGGTCACCAAGCGGTTCAAATCATTTTGAGCTGGG